CATGATCTCCGGCGAGTTCCTTGACGCGTTGGATCGAAACGAGAGAGGAATTGTCGAGGTTGTCGATGACAACGGTGTTGTAGCCGCCGAGAAGAAGCTGAAGAACCGTGTGACTTCCGATGTAACCAGCACCGCCGGTTACCAGAATATTTCCAACCATCGAAGCTCCAAGAGGCGATGAAGAGAGAGAGCGAGAGAATCAAAAGAGAAGCTTCTCTGGAAATAATTATAACTAACCTTCTCGTTCTCTTGTTTGGGGAATAAAAAGAGGAGTGGAGAAGAGAAGACACGTGGCTTTTTCATTTTTATATTATTAATTCATACTTAAATTAATTAATTACTGTCACAATTCTCTGGAGAAAGTGTCACTTTGCGTGTTTAGCAACTACTAATAATTTAATTATCAAATGCTTGCATTAAAAAAAAAAAAAAAGATTACAAATGGACAAGAAACAATCCCTAAGCATACAAAAATAAATTATATTCAAAAGAAAGTTATAGTTTCGGTGATTATTAAAACTATATTACATAACAAATTTATCAACATTAACTTATAGCGACCGACAAAAGAAACTTAACTTTTAGCGATGCTCCAGAGTTTTTGACCTGTACCAGATGATCAGCATTTCCATTACTTAATATTCTTATACCACAATAAAATTTCGAAAACGTATTATTTTTACAGAGCAAAAATTCCAATGCAGCTCTGGAGAAAGAAAAAGATTCTTAAAAAGGGAACTAAAATTTAATAAATGTTGTAACTAAAGGTGTAATTGCCAGAACATTCGTCCACATTTTCATATCATTGACGAATCTACGTTGCAGTTTTGACAGCAGACATTATTAATGTCAATACATATGGCCGCCGAAAGATAATTGCTTTATATGATGATTGATGGTAATGATCATGATGTTTGAATGTATGATGTATGATGATGACTAACTAACCGGGTTTTTGTTGACAAGAGTGTGTGTTTAATTAAGGTTGGGAGCTAAGTAGTCTTTCGGCCTCGTCGTTTGCTTCAGCCTGTATTTTCCATTTCTGCATAAAAAATGTTGTTGTAAGTATGTATGCTTCTGTTGTCCAAATTGAAACTGGAAAATTGCAGGAAAAAGATATATGATTCAACGTAAATGAGTTTCGAACTATATATATATATATACCTCTTCAAGGTTTTCAAGTTCCATGATCTGCTCTATCTGTAGCGCAATGTTTTCCTGCGAAGCATTTGGAGTCTCACATTCGATCATGTCAGGTTCATAAGTAAACTTTTAAAAATAAACTCACAGTATTGTTCACTGCCTCGGCTGCAAGAACATCAGTGTCCATTTCCACCTCGATCTCAATCATTGAAGATATCTAAACGTTAAAGAAATCGAGCTGAAAGATTCAAACCAGGAGATCAAGTGGGATTTTTGAAGATCTAAAATGGTTTTGTTTCGTTTTCTTACTCTGGCATAACTATCGATCAGCTCAATCTTTCCCTTTATGGAGTTCTCTAGACTTTCTCGTACCTTTTTTACTCTTGTTCTTCGAGTACTATATTCAAGTAAGATACACATGTAAGGATAGATCTCATTGTACTAACAATTTCCCAGACGATGAGGTTCAAATGATCTGAGAGGGTCATACCGGTAAGCTGGCTCTCCCACGGCTAAAATTTTGTTCTCAAGCTGGCACATCCTAGCTAACATCCACACCTAAATAGACACAAGAAAGTTTTTAGTTGTGTTTTTGATTATATATTGTTTGGTTTCAAATGGTATATGATTAAATGAGGCTTACTACCTCTTTCTCAACTGCTTCGTTTAGATCTCTAATGCGACGCTGGAGCACATCATACTGCGATAAAAGTTGCTGCTTGATACCAACCACATCTACTGTTCGTTCAGGGAGCTGAAACCGTTCAAGGGATTAATGAGATTCATACCCAAGAGACTTTCATATGTTTACTTGAAGCAGTTCATGTCATAGAGAATATAAACCTGATTTAGCTGAGGAAGGACAAAAGAATTTACGGTTGCTCCAATCGCTAGTGATGTAACAGCAGCAACTGAGAGTAATTGAGGCAAACTGGGATCAATAATACCAGAAGCAGCATCTCCAGTAGCCAAAACAGCAAGAAGAGGTATTAGAAACGAGGGTTGCAAGAGCTTATCTCCATCTTTACTAGGAGGCCTTAGCAAGAGAGATTCTCGTCCATCCTTGTGTTTTGTGAGGCTCATAGGTTCTCCAGGGTAAAAGTTTGGAGCTTTGGGGATAAACTTGAACGGTCCCACCTGTCTGTAAACATTAGAAGGAGCAGCAGATGCAATTGTCACTCTTTCTCCTTCTTGCGCAGGGAGCTCAGCGGTCTCAGTGGCAAACCGGTGTGTTCGTGCTATACCAGAAGGAGTTTGTACCTGAAATCCAATGCAACGGTTACTATATCTGCTGTATCAAATGTTATTATTTTGAAAATGAAAATGTGTTAACAATGGCGATTACCACAATAGAGTGCACCGAAGATGTGATTTTGTTCTTCTTAATCTGGATTAGTCTGAGCCCTTTTTCCCAGAGAGGAATGTCCTTGCTGCGTTCGGCAGATGTAGCTCCTTAGAGAAAGTGAATATCCCAACATCAACACCACACACGTATCAATTTGCTTATCAGGTTAAATTTGTTGCTCCCATATCACCTTTTCCCTAGAGCTAGGTAACAAAAGAATAACAAAATACTGAAGAAAACTAACCCGAGCTCTTCAGATTCAATGCTGGTTATGTCACCAGAGAAAAGCTCGTATTGGTAACGGCAATTAGCGCAAGATGCAATCTAGTTACATAGAGAGCAAATCATCTAGTTATTACTTATGAGATATGCAGAGCATTCATTGAAGATCGAATTGGATCATCATTACCTGAACTCCATGCTGGGGTTGTGCAACAGCGATGGCAATCAAACATGTCGGACATCGCACAATTTTACCAAAGGGAACCTAAAATCAATAGCAATGTATTAAGTAAGTTCAAACCAATTTCAAGGTGTCATAGCAAAACTGTTACCATACTAGAACCATTGCTGAAAACTTACCTCCTCAGCAGGGGAGATACCAACACGGCAAATATCTCTGATGATTCTTAGAGAATCAGAAACCCTTAAGGAAGCAGCAAGACTATTAACCAACATGGTGTACACTTCAACATCAGGCCTTGACCATCTCCATCGATCATTGTCACTTCCACCTGTGAAAACAAACAATCAATCCTAAATATGCTTAATCAATCAATCAAAACACACAAACTCCTACGATGAGAGAACCTAAATCGAAACTCGCTCGCATGGTGTGGAAAATCGACAACGCAAGGTCCACATTGCCGCGACTGACAGCAGCGGAGATAATCGAACGGCAATCTTCAAGTTCAACGATTCCACCGCGATTTGACCCGAACCGATCCGAAATCATCTCGAGCGCTTCATCCGCGTCTCTAACGGCGGATACGCTGCTCAGAAGCTCGTCGTCGAGAATAGACGACGAAACATCGGCGGCGGCGCTGACACTGTCTCTACTCCGGTCTCCATAGGATGAGAATAGAATCGGTCGCCGTATACTACCGATATTCGCCGGTTTGAAGAAGAAAGAGAAGACATGAGAGCGAAAAAGAGTATGAGTCTCGTGGAGGTTAGGGGTTCGATTGATTCCGGAGAAAACGGAGGAAACTACACGGAGACTCATTGACTATAATCGGAAGACAAAATCACCGGCGAAGAAGACGGAGGAGCATATCGGTGGTGGTTCTCGGAGATGAGAAACGAGAGGCTAAGAAAGAGGGAAGAAACCAACGGTCTCTAATGCTTTTTTTTTTGTTCTATCTATTGCTTAGGTTGATCTTGTGCCGTTGATTTTAATGACCCCTAAAAAAAAAGATCGGACGGTTGAACTTGAGAGTTATATTATTAATTCACAAAATCAACAATTTAATTAAAAATGGAGGTGCGGGGAATCGAACCCCGTGCCTCTCGCATGCGAAGCGAGCGCTCTACCATATGAGCTACACCCCCAATGTCTGTCAGCTAATATAATTGTTTTTATTTAAAAGTTATTAAGTTACATATCTATATATAAATGAATTATTTAAGTGTCACTTATCAATTAATATGTAAATGATATTTATTTTTTCTTGATTCTTGTACTTTGCAATCGATATTGATCATTGATCAATAAAGAGATTATATTCAACTATTTTCCTTATTTTCCGTAGACTCTCACGAATCGATTACTTTTGCCAAAACATTCATATCCTTGTATAAAGAAGCGGGATTCAAGTCAAGCGTAAAGAAATCTGCCATTTCAATACCTTAGATCCTAATTGGAGGACTAATCCCTCTTTACTACGGTGGATTCATATCGGTTTGGAGGACATGACTGATCATTATCTCCTTAGTAGTTGCGGCGATGAAGATCGCATTCGCCTACATATGGACCACTTCTTATGGTTTTTGTGTGGTCAAAGCATTTTATGTGGTTGTGGTAGAAGTTTTCGGTATCCTTTTGGTAATATGAGCCTTACTTCTATACCTTGTCTTTTTTTTGTCAGCTTAATATTTTATTATATTCGTAAGTGGATATCTCTTCATATATTATTCTAAGAACTGATGAGAAAACGAGCGAACACAGTTTGAACCGGGAATCCATCATTGTCAATCGAGTTGAAGACTTAATTATGGTTAATTTGTTCGTTAATGTGGATTTAGTTCAATTTGTTCCTTCATTATGTTTTGCTTTTACGTCTTTTTACAAAGGATCTAATAATCACTTTCAGTGAAATTCCTTAATTATGTTTTGCGTAATAGTTTGTCAAAAGATATATGACATATATACATACACATATATAAATATATATATGGTATAATGGTACGAGATCGATCTCAAAGTAGTCTAACAAAAATGAATATCGATCTCTATCTAAAAATGTGATGAGCAAAAATGTTATATAGTTCTGATTATCGTGATATAAAACAATGCATCTAGAACCAAAATCAATATATGATGATCATCATGATCAAACTCATTTTTATCAAAAATAGAACACATCTTTATACAATCTTCATCTATCCATTTCCTGGACTTCTGGACACTCCACAATGCTCTCTAAAGACGGTTCCCATGCCATCGACGATGGTGATGACAATGATGAAGCTCTTATGATCCTCTTCTCTAGCTCTACCATAACATCTCTGGTAATCATCAAGTTTCCATCATGATTCCTATTCATCTGAAGCAAAAACATGTCCAATTCATGTCTCGTAAGCACTATCTTCACCTTCATCCCACCATGACCATCTCCATTATCATCACCATCAAGTTTGAAGGACTCTTTGGCTCTTTCTGTCACCTCTATCTTTCCATCTTCCCCTTCTCCTTGCAACCATCTCTCCATGCAATTACCCATTAACACCAAAAACAAAATATGACAAATTCAATCTCAAAAAGAAAGGAAAAAAAAATCACAGATTTGCTTCTCTTTTTCTTTGAAAATAAGTGATTGACATGAGTGTGAAAACACATGTATATATAGAAGGTCAAATGATTAAATATCAATCAAATCTTTTTTACTGATTTGTCTTTTAAAAGCCTTTGAAAATTCCCAACGAATCTCATATTCTGAGTGAAAATGACATATTTGAGAATTTTAAAGTCAAAAATGTAATAAAGAATATGAGTATATGTTAAAACTTAAAACTTTATGAATTATTTTGCATGGAGTCTAAGTATTGACACACCATTTAAAGTATCGTATTATCGCTGATCCATCAAATGGTCTGAGAAATACTAAATAAATATACAAACTTTAGACTACATATATATATATATATATATATATATATATATATATATATATATATATATATATATATATATAAAAAGACAACCGTTAGGTTAATGTCGACATCAACCGTTCGGAACCTATTGCCCGACAGTGTCACGGACACAATGCAAAGACTTTTGAGAAGCTGCTATTAAATTAACTTGATAACAATATACTTATTTACAATTTAACATTTTTAATTCGAAACCAAAAAAAAAAAAAAAATCTATGCAATAATAAATATTTCAATCTTCAGAGACTTTTTCTTGTTTTATGATTTGTTTTCGTCAGTAGAAATTTCCGATTCACGTGCTTTGGACCAAATGTGAACACTAATATATCCTCAGGAATTTTACCTACACAACCACTGATCATTAATAGAAAAACTAAATTGAGTTGATTCTTTTCTTATGTACCCATAGGAATTAACGATAATTAATTATGTGTATCTTTTTTTTTTTGTCATCCGAAATTAATTAGAACTCAAAAGAGCCATTTCTGGAGAATATTGTTTACATATGTGGTATGTAGCGGTTCTGCACGAATCTTTCGTGCTAGATTATCCGCTTTTACATTAGCATTACGAGAAATTAAAGATAAAGAGAAGGATGAGAATTCTTCCTTGTCGCTCTGAAATTCCTCCAAGTACACTGAAAACGCCGGCCATTCGGTTGGAGAAGACACCATCTTCACCAGATCAGAACAGTCTGTAAGGAACTCTACCTCTTGATTATCTGCACCAATCATACACTTCATCGCCCAGAGAAGAGCCTCGAATTCTGTATGTAATGGAGATAGACTTCTACGGAGGTTGTCAGCTCCCATGGTTGGCGGCTCTCCGTTTGATGATGTACAAAACCATCCTGCACCGGAGAACTTATCACTTTCTTTCCACGATCCATCCACAAAGCAACGACATCCAGAATAATTCGAATCAAGTGAAGCATCCCCCACTCGAGAACGATTTACCAATTCCACAATACCATTAGTTTCATGATGAAGCACGATTTGGGCTGACTGCCACAATTGTGCTTCTTTTTCTGCTAACCGTAATACCTCGAACGGATCTTTATCAATATTTTCAAAGGTTTTTTCATTCTTTGCTTTCCAAATATACCAGATAATCCATGGAAAGGCTGAAGAATCAAATTCCGAAGGTATTCTCCAAAATAAATTGTCCAAATTCGCAAAAATAGATTCCGTTGGAAAAATTCCCATTGCCGTAGGAATCTGGGAAAGTGCCCAAACCTGTCGTGCCGGGTGGCATTGAAAAAGTGTTTGATTGATTGTTTCCACTGGTTCGCCACATCTGGCACAGCTTGTGTCATAATCAATTCCTCTTTTCCGCAAATTTTCCGTAACTGGTACACAACCCGTTAAGATTTGCCACAAAAAGTGATGTATCTTAGGTGGACACTGCACTTGCCAAGAATGTGCTTTTAACGGTTTGATGTCTGGGCCAATCAATGATAAATTGGTCTCCAACTTTTCTAACCTTGTGGTATGATATCCCGATTTGACTGTATATTTTCCAGATTTTGTAAAATGCCAACCTAGTGTATCTTCCTTAGTTGGCGCACCCACAGGTAGGGCACTTATTAGGACGACATCTTCTGGATCAAAGATCTCCTCTAAGAGAGCAATATTCCAAAAATTCGACCGACTATCTATAAGATTGCTAACTTTTAACAATGGGTCAACACGTGAACCATTACTCTTTGCTGGTCTCGGGAATTGAGCTGGAATCCAGGGATCCTTCCAAACTGAGATGGATGTCCCCGATCCGACCCTTTTGATAAGTCCTTTATTAACCAGAGATCTAGCTGAACAGATACTACGCCATCCATATGATGGGGAGTATGATTTTATATTTTCCAAAGGATTGGATTTCCGAAAGTACCGCCCTTTAAACACCTTCGCGAAAAGAGACTCTGGAACCGTAATCAACCGCCATAATTGTTTGGCTAATAGAGCTGAATTAAAATCGTCTACATTGCGAAAACCTAACCCTCCTTCCGATTTACTATTGCACAACTTGTTCCAAGCCATCCAATGCATACCTCTGAAATCCCCATTTGAACTCCACCAAAATTTAGCAACCGCACTAGTAAGTTTAGAAGTGATTGTTTTTGGTAGCCTGAAGCACGACATAACATAAGTTGGTAATGCTGCAGCTACCGATTTAATCATTACTTCTTTCCCACCTTTCGATAAAAATTTTGCCGACCATCCGTTAATTCTTGTTTGCAATCTATCTCTGACAAAAGAGAAAAATTTTGTTTTAGATCCACCCAAACTCTCCGGCAAACCGAGGTAAGAGCCCATCCCACCGATATTAGTGATTCCCAAGGTAGATTTTATTTCATCCTTGATATCCTCATCTACCTTATGTCCAAACTGAATCGAGGATTTTAAAAAATTAATCTGTTGTCCTGAGACTGCTTCATACTTTTTTAAAATCCCCAAAATTACCTCACACTGGTCCTTATTTGCTTTACAAAAGAATAAACTGTCATCCGCAAATAACAGATGTGAAACCGAAGGGCTTGCATTTGCTATTTTAATACCCGTAATTAGTTTTTCCCTTTCTGCTTTCCGAATATTCGCAATTAGCACTTCTGTACAAAGGATGAATAAATAAGGAGATAACGGGTCTCCTTGTCGTAATCCCCTTTCTGGTACAATTAGTCCTCTAGGTTGCCCATTAAGGAGCACTCTATATTGAACTGTTGTAATACACCACATTATCCAGTTAATCCATTTCTCGCAGAAACCTAATTTTTTTAGAACCTTCTCAACGAAAATCCATTCCACCCTATCATACGCTTTACTCATATCAGTTTTAATGGCCATGAATTTTACCTTACATGACGGGTTAGTTCTCAGCCCATGAAACATCTCTTGTGCAATAAGTATATTATCTGAAATCAACCGTCCTTCTACAAAAGCCGATTGTGTTTTCGAAATAAGTTTTGGTAAAACCATTTTAAGTCTTTGACAAAGAATCTTCGATATAATTTTATAGCCCACATTGCATAGACTTATAGGCCGTAATTCCATCATCCGTGTCGGTCTTTCCATTTTTGGAATCAGACAAATATTGGTCGTATTTAACCGTTTGTCGAAAATTCCATCCTCTAAAAAAGAATTAACCAGAACAAGAAGATCTGATTTAATTGTAATCCAAGCTTTTTGAAAAAATAAGGCTGTCATGCCATCAGGCCCTGGCGATTTTTCTGGATGCATCATAAATAGAGTTGTTCTCACCTCACTCTCTGTAACAGGTGCCGTTAGAAAATTATTAACCTCATCCGTAATCAGACTTTGTATTTCTGCCAAAGACTCCTCAAAAGCCTCAGGCTTACTTGTAGTAAACAAATCCTTAAAATAAGAAACCGCTATATTTTGAATATCTTTATCCTCTACATACCAAATCCCGTTTTCATCATGCAGCCCCGTAATCCGATTCCTTGCGCGTCTTTGTTTTGTTAGAGCGTGAAAGTACTTTGAGTTATCATCTCCTAGTTTCATCCAAGAGCACCTACTTTTTTGGTACCAGTACAATTCCTCATCTCGATAAGCTTCTTTCAACCGCAATGTTAATTCCGTAATCTCCTCTCGTGATCTCCTGTCATCAATCTGTGCCACATGTAATTCCGATTTAAGTTCCTCAATTGTTTGCCGCCCATAAGGAGTTAGTTCTTTCCTCCATTGTGAAATAGCCCGCCTACAATTATTCAACTTTTCCACGAATTTTCCTTCTCCTAATTCAGAATCCGAATTCTAGCCATTTGAAATTGCCTCCATTAATCCTTCCTTTCCAATCCATCTCTTGTCAAACCGAAAGCTTCGTTTCCCACGTCGTATCTTATCCAATAACGAAGCTACCACCGGTGAATGGTCCGAAGACACCATTGGTAAATATTCAACGAAAGAGTTGCAGAATAATTCATGCCAATCTTCATTCGCTAAAGCTCTATCCAAACGACACCGTATTGGTTTTTTATCCCGCCAACCCCGCCAGGACAACCAGTCTCCGATATATGGAAATTCTAATAGACCGCAATTTTGAATCATTAAATTAAAAGGGATAAACGAAGATGCATGTCGTAGAGTACCACCTCTTTTCTCATGATTTCCTGTTAACTCATTAAAATCACCAATTAAAAACCAGGGTGTATCCCTAGTCAACCCGATACGCGTCAACCATTCCCAAACTTGATCTCTATTTTTCGGAACCGGGTCACCATAAACAAAAGTAAGATGAATTATTTTTCCTTTTACCACAGCTTTAACATCAATTAACCGATTACATTCATAAACAATAGAAACATTAAAATCATTATTATAATAAAGAGCTAAATCGCCACTACAACCGATAGGATCAACCGTTTTTAAATTTTTATAACCAAAATGACCAATAAATTTTTCCATAAAAAAAGAAGATTGTTTTGTTTCTGAAAGAAACAAAAAATCTGGCCGGTGTTGTTTCCAAATGTCTCGAAGATAACCGATAGTTGCCTTATTCCCGAGCCCTTGACAATTCCAACTCAAAACCTTCATTAATCAACTCTGTATTTTGGCGGGTTGCGTCCACCCGTGAAGCCCTTCACCGTGCCATGGTACGTCGGGTTATGGCCTTCATTCCCATGAAATCCCAAATTTTGCAACCAGAATCTCCAATACCAAATCCCAAAAAAATACTTTCCAAAAACCCAATACGGGACCAAATGATCTCCGATATTGAATAACAAAGATATGAAAACATCTTCCCAAATTGAAGATGATGAAACAAATCTTCAAATTTGAGAAACCATCAAAGAATAAGTGCGAAAATTCATCCGCATTAACTCCGATTGTGATGAATCCTCCTCTGTCTTTGGAATAAACCATTGCGATCCTCCATTGAAAGCCTCCACATCAAAACCAAAAACAACCAAAGAGAACCATATATGAAAACCATATCCATAGGGTACGACCATTAAGATCA